AATGAAACATTAGTGCTAATGCTTTATATATATATATATATATATATATATATATATATATATATATATATATATTCGGGTTCGGGTTGAAATCGGGTTATGATTTTCTAACCCAAGCCCAACCCAAATTGAATTCGGGTTAGAATTTTATGACTCAAGCCCAACCCAAGTATTAAAAACCCTTGCCCAAGTCCTAATTTTTTTGGATTGGGCTCGGGTTGAAATCGGGTTGCCCAACCCAAGTTCCACCCCTAATAAACATGCATATACATTATGAGTACCAATATTTAATTTCTCAAGAGTTATAAAATTAAAATTCGATGTATATTTTAACCTAGGCATATGATCTATATTCCACATGACAACATGATCATAAAATCACACACAAAATATTTCATCATGTGGGGTCTCTACTATCTTTACATTGACTACTCATAGGCCTCGATTGAATTTAAATTGGACCCAAAAAATTATTAAAATAATAATAAATATCAATTGATCAAACATAAAGAAAAGCAAGCCATTGAAAAAAATTATTGTAAATAACAATAAAGTATAAAATAACACAATGCTCAATGATACAATAAGTAAAACATCAGCGCTACAAGACTTTTACAATGTTCTTTTTAGAGTATATTGTAAAGGGTATACCAAATTAGACTTATTTGGTAAAAAGTATACACTAAAAAATATAGGGTTATTAAGTATTTAATTTTGATACTTATTTGTATCCAAGTATATAATTTGAATTTATCTTTTTTTATTGTGACATTTTTACCCTCCATTAATTCATGTCTATTTAATGCACTACTTTTTTTTAGAAAGTGGTACATTAAACATCTTCTAGTTTTATGGGAGAACTTTAATATATATATATAAATATATATATTCGTATATACGTGTATATAAACAAGTATACACGTATATATATATAAGTATATATATTCGTATATATATATATATACTTATATTCATGTGTATTTGTTAATATTGTATATATATATATATATATATATATATATATATATATATATATATATATATATATATATTTACATGTATTAACAAATACACATGAATCAAAGGTGCATTAAATACGTATTTATATATATTAACAAACACACATGAATCAAAGTGTATTAAAAATAAAAGATTTTGAATTAAATGACCCCAAAATGGATATTTATGTCTTTTTAACTCACATTTTGTTGTATGTAATTTTTACCAAATAAGTCTAATTAGGTGTACTGGCTTCCAAAAAATCCTTTTTTAAAAAACAAAATATTGGGTTGACTTTTGTATTATATAACACTAGTTGTGGATTATTTTTTTTAGTCCAATAACTTGGGCTGAATCCTTTAGTTGGGTTGTTAAACCCATGCTATAAATACTTTATACCCAATGGACCTACTAACAAATAGCCGAAGTACACATAACCAAAAACAAAAGAGATTTGATCCGTTTTAAGAGCATCTCCGACTCACTAGTTTTTTTGATCAAACTCTAACTCACTAGTTAAATATTCATTTTAAGTTAATTTGGCAAGACTTGCTCAACAAAATTGTTACAATCAGCTCGCCATTTTACTAGCTAAAACCTAGGAGATCCTTGTTACTCGTCAGATCTGGAGAGGAGGAGAAACTCGTTAGACTACTCACCTCTGTCTTCATTGTCTTCTCCAAGGATTGGTCCAGGTAATCTTCTTCATCTCTCACCCCCAAGCTGCAAATCTCCTCCCCCAATTCGAAACCCACCTCCTTCCTACCTCCCCCAAGCCGAAACCCATTCTGAAAACCCCCCTTTCCTCAATTATGAAAAACCCCCCTTTCCTCAATTCTGAAAAACCCTCTTCTTTGAAACCTAAATTTTGAAAACCACCCTCCCCCCAAATTTCGAAACCCACTTGTACAATGAAATATTTAATTTTAGATCGTATGAAATATTAATACAAGTATTTGTGAAAATTTTAAATTATATTATTAGGTTACGTGGTATTTGTGAATTATATTATTGAAAGTTAGTTAAAATTAATTATAGTAATTAATTAAAATAAAGAACGTGATTAGAATAAATTTTAAAAAGTGATTTGTTAAAGAAGAAAATATAATATTTAAATATATTTTACCTAACTATTTTGCTGATCATGGTTAGAATCGCTCAAATAGAATAAAAACAACAGATCATCTGTTGTACCAGACCACTCATAAACAGCAGCAATCAAGGATGTGTCAACAGTGATACCGAAAACACTAGCAAGGCATTTAAAATAAAATAAAATAAAAATAGTTGCTGACTGGACACGGTCCAATTTCGCCAATGAATTTCTTGTTCCTCTCGTTCGTTTGATCTACAAGAAGGCTTGGAAACCTTCAAAAATTGTCTTATTTCAAAAAGACCCAAATAAGTCGAGGTGCACCTAAATTGACCCGACAATCTTAATTGTTGAAAAAAAAAAAAAGGTACAAAGGCATGTTGACATGGTTTTAATTTGACCAAAAGATAACTTGTGGTTTTAATGAACCAAAATAACTTGGTCATCATTGGTTTCCATGGACGGTGATGAGTACATCGGTAAAAATTAAACAGCGGCAATAAAAGTCGTGAACCAGTAAACTCATAGATTTAATAATGTCACAACATCATATTCATCGCATAGGTTTAATTAACAAAATATTCAAACTCGATCTGATATTACTTGTTGAATTTTAACAAATCCTAATATACACGAATTTAGGGTATTCTATATAATTAAATCTAATAACTATCATATATTTAAACAAAATAATCGACAAACCTGCAAAAGTGAATCACGTTAGCGACCTCTTGTTTTCTGAATAGAATAATAAAATACTCTATCCCAATCTCTGATGCACCGGAGCAATGAAAAATTAATTAAAAGGACTACTAAGAATATTTTATTAAAATAATAAAAAACTTCCAACATGAATGTCAATGACTCTACACAAATGTTTGATTTAGACGTGCGGAATATCAGTAAGCAAACAAAGGCAGATCCAAAACAGGGTCCAATAGGCACACTAAAGTGATGTATGGTAAAGGAGGACCTTAGTAGACCAATTAGGCGCGTAAAAACTTGCAGTCATTCTCACCTTAGAAATGGAACAATTTGCCGATGGTTAAAACTTCTTCAAAGTATAATGTTTCGTTTGGTACAATTAAAAAATTAAAGAATATAATTTTTTTTTTAAACAATTAAAGGATAAAAAGTTAAATAAATAAAAAATAAAAAAGATAGATAAAACATTATATTTGATGAGGAAGGAAAACAAGAAGGATGAAAAAGTGAATGAATTAATTTTTTTTTCAACTTACTAAAATCAATCCTTCCAAAATTAGGAAGAAAAATGAATGGTAAATTAATTATGTGTGTTAAAAATGTATGTTATTCGTCTATATATCATATTTATCAATTACATATATCATATTTATCATTACATATTATATATACATTAATTTCATATATATATATATATATATATAATAAAAAAATATATATTTATATTTTTTCAAAAAAATTAAAATTTTTAAAAAAATTTCTTTTTTCTTCTTACGAAACACAAAAAAAAAAAAAATTAATCATTCTTACTTTCAATCTCTCTTACCAAATACAAAGAAAAAAAGAAATACTTCATCCCTTTGAAGGATAAAAAATATATAACTCTTACTTTTCATCATTCCATTTTTTTTTCATCCACCCTATTAAACAGGCCATAAGTATAAAAAATCCAACCCCTTTTTAATTATTTTACCGGACTATGTGCTTAGAGGATAGGATGAATACACCATTTCTTTCTCTCTTTTTTACACTGTCCAAAAATAAGGGCATACCTTCGGCAGCCCTGCACGAACGACAAGGTCATGAAGTTCGAGAAAAAAAAAAGTGAGGTCCAAAGAGCCACCACAATAGAATTGCCCTCTTGGTTATGGTGGATTCAGCATCGAACAGTAGATTTTGAACAACAAAATAATGCCCAGCTACTTCAACGGAAAGAGAAAACCATTATTATAAGGTTGATCTGCTTTCCTACAGAAACGGACAACATACAAGAATTTCTTGACCAGTAACTTCTCTTCTCAAGTTTATATTCAAGTCACTTGAATAATCAACTTAATGCTGACAAACCACATAAAAGCAAAGGGCTGTTTACAATTTTCGGCGAAAGCAATGAGGTTTTATTCTTGTAAACCTAATTGTAACTTCAGAAAATAGTAATAAACCTTCAAGTTCGTGTATTATTTCAAATATCAATACAGATGAGAACATGAATGAACATAGTCCGTACACCAGGAACATATTCACCAACTTTTATTTTGATGTCTAACTTACCAGCTCAAAATAACTGCAAAACATTCAGTTCCTACTAAGAGAGTTTTCAATTATCTGGACTCACGTACAAATTAGCTCCATATCTCCATCCATATCAGTTTGTTCTTCCCAATAAGCACCACCAGAATCATGGTTCAAAGTATCTATTGATACCGATATAAGTCGAACGAGTCGAAAATGATACTATTACACGGTAAATATAAACTACGATACGTATTGGCTGATACGGTTCTGCGACAATATGACCTGTATCACTCGTCATGTTCAACATTTTATTTTAGATCATTTTACCTGGTAACGCGCCGCAACCAATGTGTCTCAGAACTCTGAGTAGTAGTTTCAAGAAGGCCAACATTGCTTTTCAAGACTATCTCTTCCTTTACATTACACACACGTGACCTGTCTTCTACAAAACAAGTAGTCTTATTTATATTCATTACATAATGGGACATTTCCTAGAAGTTAGGAAACCAAAGCAATGACAGAAGAAATAATATATATACAGGGAAAAAGAGATGATTATCTTGATGCAGTGTTTCAAAAGGTCACTGTGTTAGCAAAAGGTGGTTATCTTGATATAGGTTTACCTTTGGCCTAAATCAACCTAAACTACATGAAATCTCTATCACACTCATTGTGCCAGCAAGTTTCATCATACAGAAGAAGTTGCAATTTCCTTGGAAAAAGCAGCAGATAGATTAACCCCAGAACAGAACAAACTAAAAATTTCCGGACTATTTGGAATGCCATTAACATCTATGTGCAAATCGTGGCCAACACTAGCTATCTTCCACACCGCACCCTATCCCAGATGTCCATCCCATAACCTCAAAAAAGGTTGCTGAGACTTTGTATTATCTCATGCAGTCTATGCTATAACTGGAAGGAACTGCCACTAATCACAAATAAGTAGTGTTTTCATACTATTCTTTCCAATGTTGTATCAATTCCGAAAATCTTTGCAATCCAAAACCCCCTACCACAGATATAAAAAATCCTAAACCAACATAATTTCAAGCATATTTCCAAACTACTCAACCTATTAAAGTGGATAAAAATACCAAATATGTCAGTTCAGCCCATATAACAAATGTGTAACAGGTTTGCGTCAAAAAACATGAACTTTTTCAAAAATTTTTTAGAAAGAATCCAAATTGAAAGCATCTCCAGGCAGTTTCACAGTCTAATTTGCTCAACCTATTCACAATACTTGGCTCACAAATTGCTCTTCCCAATTACTCCTAAAAGTAACAATAGTCAAATGATGAATCTGTCTACAGGCCATAAAGCTAATATCAGTATATCACCCATCGTGAAGACCAAAGAATAGACAACAACTTCCTGCAAATTCTCATTGCATGCAACATATTAAATCTTTGGGTAAGGCAAGAAAAATAAAAAAAATGTAATCATGCAAGTTCATGACAAAAGAATTCCAAAATTTTTCGCTCAATTTAGAACAACACAGCCCGTAAAAAAATAACAAAAGACCACACACACACACAGAGAGCTATATAAAATCGAACGAACACATTTACCATGCCAATTTCAACACAAAAAGTATAATTAAACTAAATTATCAAATCCAAATTCCCATTTGTCACTAACATCAACAAAGTAAAGTCGTCGGATTGGATTACAAAATAAACAAACAATAAATTTAAACCAGCCCATCAAAACTTTTATATTAGTAAAATGTAATCCAACCACTAAAACCCATAATCCCAACACCCTAAATATTAAAGAAAATCGATCAAATTCTCACTATATCGGCACATATCGCTTCATCGCCTGCTTCCCCACCACCGCCACTCCCGCCGCCAACCCACCAAAGACTCCGGCTATAGCCGCCGACCTCGGTCCTTTTGCAGCCCTATACAGGGCCCCAGTGCCCAACCCAGCCATCACACTATTCAATAAATCGTCAGTGCCCCTGTAGTGCACAATCCCACTCTCCAATCCAGAAAAGATCAAACCCAAAACACCGAGCGAGTTACCGAATCTCCGGCCCGTCTGACCACCTGAATTCAGCACGCGGTTGAGACGGAGCTTCAGAGTATCACCCGGCTCAGCCGCTTTAAGGCCTTCAAAAGATCCTTTTATTCCGCCGGTGATTGCGCCGGCTAAGTAGCCAGAACCCGTGTAGTATTGGAGATTTTCGCTCCAAGAACGGCGTTGAACGGCGGCTTCTTCGTGGAAGAGGTATTCAGGAGAGGTGGGTAGGTTGTAGAGGTTTTCAATGGGGACTTGGAGGTCCTGATAAGGGTGGTATTGACGGTATGCAGGTTTTTTCTCTGCTGATGAATTGGTCATTGCTGAATGATTCTCTTTAATAATGTGTGTGGAGGCAGAGAGACAGAGAGAAGGTTTTTGAGAGAGAACCGAACTGGGTTCGGAGATTTTTAATGGGTTCCTGAGATTAAGGATTGAAAAGGGCAAAAGTGCTTTGATCAAATTGGTGGTCTGTTGTGTGGCGTTGTGACTAATGGGAGAGAGGGTTTCTTGGAAAAAGGAAGAGGTCAAGAAACCCTCTCAAAATGCGTTAGGGTTTAAGGAAAAATCAATAGTAAAGCCTAGTGAATTTGAGGTATTTATATATATATATATATAGACACACATTCCATTGACCGTCTGACCGACTATTTTACATCCTAGCCGTTTAAATTTTTTGATGAAAATAATCGGTTCATCGAATAGATCCAACTCCGAAAATTTCAACCCTCGTCCCTATTTTTTTTTTGATCAGGACCCTCGTCCCTATTAAACAGCCGCCTCATGCGATAGATAGGAGAAAATAAAATATGGAAAATGTTATATAATTTAAATGAAATTCAATGAAAAATGCTATATAATTGCTTTACAAAATAGTTAAATTGTAATTTTTTGAATTTATTTGAATTTTGTAGTATTACTCATAGAATATTGAGAATAACTGTTGCACTATGTCAAAAATGTCATTTGGTATAATTGTTTATTACAAAAGAAATAAGTGTATAAATGAGTTTCATAAAATTCAATAATTATCATACATGTAATATATAATCACTTTCATGTAAAGAAAGAGGTCCACTTTATTTATTTTCTAACTTTTTACCGGACGATTTCACCATGTATCACAGCTGACATGGTGTAATCGTTACATTGTATATTTATTTTCACCACCCCCGCCCTTCCAACTCAAAAAAAAAAAAATAAAACCAAAATAAATAAAGTCAAAGTTGTTGAAAAGTACAATTCGGATCCAGGCAAAAGTTTTTTTTAAGTTGTTAAATCTAGCTCAGCTTAATGTTTTTTGTCTTGTAATTTAAACTATTTTTTTTCTTTTTTTTAATATAACAATATTACCCCTACTTTATAAACACATTAATGGTGTGATCTTCTGTGTTTTTTTGCTCGTAAATTATTTTCCAAGATTTCACACTTAAAATGTACTTTTAGCTCTAGGTAGATTTTCTTTCAATTTGAATACTTACAACTACATTCAATTTGAAGAGAGGAATTTCATATCAATTCTATCGGTTCTGAATTTGAAAGTTTTTAATCTCTATGCATAAAAATTTGCAGAAACGAATGGTAGATTCATCATTGCAAAATCGAATACAGATTGTACTATTGTGAAGAATTTGTTCTTTTGCATTTGACTTGTTCATTCATCATTGTTTCTTCAATGTAATTTGTTATACCAATTCGCATAATAAGTTCTGTTTTTGTTGAATTTATTTTGTATTCCGTTAATAAGGCGAATACTGATTCACATAATATTTCACATTTTGATTCATAGACTAATTGATGTGTTTGTTGTTAATTTTCAATTAATGTAATTTTCTTTATTCTTTAAATTTATATGTATTCTAATCCTCTAAAATTGTGTTTGATTAATTCTGAATGTGAGGAAGACAACTATGAGGCTATATTTTATATTAAATTGCTAAATAATTCACAGGAGTTACGTGTTGTGGAGAGAAACTAAATTTTTTGTACACTAGTATAGTTAGATAACTTCTTTTCTTTTTTGATAGTTTTTTTCATTTTCTTTTATGACTAATTTGTTCTTTTGATATTTTTTTTTTGTTTTATTTAGGAGCTACGCTCAACTATTATCTTTTCCTTATCTTTTTTATTTCTCATTCCATTCTCTTTGTTGCATTGAGGACAATGCAGATTTTAAGGTGGGGGTGAAGGTTACACCATGTTTGCTCCTATTCTTTTTTTTTTAGTGTTCTTTGTAGTTTAGTGAAAAAAATTGAAATTTTTTGAAAAAACATGTCTATTTGAATGATACTTGTTGTTTCTTAAGAGCTATGAGATTTGGATATGCCATGTGATACTAGATTTGGTTGAATGATGTACTCTAGAGACTTGTAGTCTATGCTTAAATATCATAGTGATTTTTATATTGGAAACTTTATTCACAATGAGCATAAAAATTCTGTTGAGATTTACGAGATTAGATTCATGTTTCGAAAAAGCTTGACATCCATAGTAGAGATGCATGTATAAACCCTGCGAGTATTGTGTTTATCATGGTTGGAGGGGTATAATGCATTTACTCTTATGATATTCATTTCAATTCCATTATTTTTTATTAATTTCATTATTGTAGTTTTGATTAAGAACATATGATTAATTAGTTGGTTATATCTCAATAAAGAGCAACACTTCTCTATACTTTCTGAAAGATGATCTTAGGCTATTTTTGAATTCTATTTGAGCCTTAAACCTATTCTTTTATTGCATTATCTCTAGTATCTGTGATTGAGCCATGATGAGTTTTTCTTTACGTCAATTAATAACAGAGCTGAGCATATACATATATATCTTACCTTGGATATCCCTAGATGTGTGTTTATTTGATATGGGCAGGGAGTTGAGGTGAAATATTAATCATGAATGAAAAAGAAAGATGATAATGAAAGAAGGAAAAATTTTGAAAAAAGAGATGGAATTGTGAAAAGAATGTTGAAAAATGAGACAGCCAAAGACTTGTGAAGGAAGAATGAGGGATATGAGCTTATATGTTGTATAAAAAGAAGAGTTAAGTGGATGTTGAATATGAAAATTGTCTATGGGATAGCCCATTTTGAATCCTTAATTCCTTCATTTCTTAAACCTTCACCCAAGGCCCCATTACAACCATAGAAAGTCCTATTAGATTTTAAAAGGTATGGTTGAGTATGTAAGCTTTAATGTCTATGAGATATACCAATTGTATTGCTTATATATCTCTTAATATTACTTCCACGTAATTATGTCAAGGTCATTCCATTTGACTTATGCACTTCATTTTTGATAAATATGTGAGTAAAAATTTATCTTAATTACATAAATTCGATCCTCACATATACATATGAGTGAAACAAGCATGATAATCAGATAATCTCTTTTCTAGGTGTGAAAACCTTGGTGAGTTTTGGCACTAAAACTAACATTGGATAGTTACTAGGAATATGAATTTTGTTTTATGAATCACTTGAGTTTCATGATCATATCACACACACACACACGGGGTTTGAGTACTAACATGATTTGCGAATATTCTTGCATAGCTTTGAAGCCTTTAGAAGGACCGTGTGTTAATTAATTTGAGTAGATGTGATAAATCTTTGATTTTATGGTAATTGGAAAATAATAAGTTGAAACCCGGATAGATAAATTGAAGTTTGTAGGTATTTTATATGGAAACCTTCATAAGACAACACTCATCCACTAAGGTAATCCTAAGGGTTTAAAGGCTTAGTGCATAGGATAAATGTATTCGTGTTGCCTACGAAAGTGGTTCTGTGTTTCTAATTTTGCATTTAATTTTACATTTCATTAGATTGTTTATTATGGCTTAAATTCCTTAGCATTGTATTTGTTATTTTTTTATCATAAATTGCGTTGCATATACTTGAGAATTTGTGGCACAGTGGAATGTGATTAAGGATTAAATTGGGTATATTTTGAGTCTTAAGATTTAGAGTTTAATTATTATTTTTAATTAGTTTTGAAAAGCAAAAAATAGGGAACCTTTCAAATTCTGTGCCACACTACCAGTAGGTAGAATACTACTTCCTACCGGTAGATTCATATATTTTTTTAAAAAATAAAAGGTTTTTAGCCAGGACAAATCATTTCACTCCTTTGTTTTCACAAGAACCCATCTCTCCAAATTTGTCTACACTTCCTGAAAATCTTAAACCAAGCCTCTTAAATCACTCTATGGCTCCTAAGAGGATCTCACCTTCCAACCCTTCAGATGAACGCTTTTGGGCCACATGATTTTTCGTTGGGCTTCTCTACGCCTCCATGCACTCAAAGCTGGTGGAGGGTATGGTAAGAACGGTGGACACCCGAACCAGAGCCACCACTTCAACTGAAGATTAGGAATCGCCCAAGGGCAAGAGCTTTGGCAAGCTAATAATGACCTTTGATTTTGAGGAGGAGGAGGAGGCTAATGAAGACGATGAGGACAACGTCGAGGATTTGGGGGGATGCTCCTACTTATGATTCAGAGTGATGGAATTTAGAATCGAATGCCCTGTCCTTCTATTCTCATATTCTCTTTTTATTTATTTGTCTCTAGTTAGTGTATAGATTCTAGTAGAACCTTAGGAATCTTGTTTTAGGTAGTAGTAGCTTAGTAGAAGAACCATAATTAGAAGGCTACTACAATTTTTCTATTCTGTACCAAAAAGCACGTAACGGACATATATATATATATATATATATATATATATGAAATCCTTTTGATTCCATTGGTGTGCAATTATTTCTTTAAGCATATGCATTTCAATTTGATGATATTTGTTATGTGATTGAGTATGCTTTGGAATTCATAGTATAATATTTAGGAATTTTGATGTTTCTTTACTTTGATTTGCTTAGGAACTAGCAAAATCTAAGTTGGGGGTGTGATGAAAGTATAATATTGTATATTATAGGCCTCATAATCATTCACCTTAGTCATGCTAGTCACTTAATTCATTTGTTTTAGTTGAGTTTTGTATTTTATAGCGAATTTATGTGTTTGCAGTTGAATTGGTGTAAAAATGTGGATTTGTACGTGTCTCAATGTTATATAGAACTTGGAAGATGACCTTTCCTGACCTTCCCTCCACTTTCTCTGACTCTCTGGCGAAGAACGCTGAAAATGAAATAGGAGTTGGCTATTTATAGAAGCTGGAAAGGTTGGTTGAGGCAGTTAGGCATGGATGGACCAATCAGAGCCTTCTACAGCATCAGTTGACCAATAGGAGAAGAAGAGGACGGTGAGGTGGTTTACCCATAGTTCAGACGCCATCACCACTGTCTGGACGGTGAGGATCCATTGG